ACTTTTCGTTTGGATTGCGTTTCCCAAACAGAATTCCGTCTGGGCACATCGTCTGTTAAACCAATAACAACACTTTTCCGAGGGCAATTTTCTGTATTTGTGGCCCGAGGGCAACCATCTCCTGTTAAACCAATAACAACACTTCCGACTATATGGTAAGTGAAGGCCTTCAAATTCTGGGCCACATACTGGACAAACAAACTTGCCTTTTGTAGACCAACCAGAAAGATTAGCATAAGCTGAAAAATCATTAATTGTCCACATTAGGATAGCACGAAGTCTAAACGACTCTTTAGCATGTGCATCATATATCAACATACCCTCCGACCATAACTGTTTTAGCTCATCGATTAAGGGCTCTAAGTAGACATCAATATCATTACCCGATGCATGCTTACCCGGTATCAGTAATGAGAGTATCATATATGGTTGTTTCATACAAAGCCCGTGGGGGTAAATTATATGGTATTAAGACAACTGGCCATGTAGACCAACTTGAACTCATAACCCCGAACGGATTGAATCTGTCGCTAGAAAGCCCAAGTCTGACATTTTTGCATTCATGAGCGAAATTGGGAAAAGTCTTATCAATATGCTTCCAAGCCTCTACATCAGCTGGATGCCTCAGCTTACCATCTTCTATACGGCCTTCTTTGTGCCACCTCATGTTCTTAGCGGTGTCTTTGTTCATATACAAACGTTACAATCTAGAAACCAAATGGAAATGGCGAAGCACCTTACACTAGAAAGCCTAAGTCTGACATTTCTGCATTCATGAGCGAAATTAGGAAAAGTCTTATCAATATGCTTCCAAGCCTCTGCATCAGCTGGATGTCTCAGCTTACCATCTTCTATACGGCCTTCTTTGTGCCACCTCATGTTCTTAGCGATGTCTTTGTTCATATACAGACGTTGCAATCTAGAAACCAAATGGAAATGGCGAAGCACCTTAGCTGGAATCATGCTCTGCATGTACATTGACTCTGTTGGCTGCCTTGTTGAAGAGCAGGTGTGTTGTTTCCATCGAGAAACTCCACATGTTGGACATTCTTGAAGGTCTTTATTATCCTTGTAGTAGAGAATACAATCATCGGGACATGTATCAATCTTATTGTAATCAAACCCCAAATCGGAAACTATTTGCTTTGCCGCATAAGTTGTTTTAGGAATGCTACGCTCTCCTCCTGGAACTACTTTCCGCAGCAAATCAAGAAGCATTTCGAAATAAGTATTTGCCATTCCATTGAGGCTCTTAATATGTAAGAGCTCCAACATAAATGAAAATCTGGGATACTTGGTGCAACCCTCATACAGATCCTTTTCACTATCCTCTAGTAGTTTCGTTATACGATCCAAGTCCTCAGGAGCATGAGCATCTTGGACATCAACTATAATATCATCTCCATTGTCATTGTTAATATCGTATTCAGTATGGTCAGGTCCGATATTAGTTTATATATTTACTTCTGTATCATCTATCCTGACACCATGACTGGTATCAACATGCACATCCGGGACTTCATCTTCGGTACGGCCTTCCTCGTGATAGGACCAATATTTATATTCCTCGTAAAAACTAGGGTTTGCTAAGTGACATGGTATTTCATCTTTATTTTTTAGCTTCATATTCTTACACCTGTAACAGGGCAGTACATTGCACCGCTACTTAAATTTTTTGGGTTCATTTCGGCATACTTCATGAAGGCTTCACATCCATCCCTATAACGTTGATCGTGAAACTGTTCACTCCTAGGGATATCTATCCATGACTTGTCAGGAATTTTCCTCATCTGTAGGTAATATATATTTAGAAACTCTATTTGAGAATAGATAGTATACCCATAAATTTTAAACTATTCAAAGCATACGTTGTTGCATTTAAGTATCGGCATTGAGGTATGTTTGAAACTTATTACGGTATGGAGACTAATTAGCACACTCTAACGGCTTTTATAGGAAGGCTTTTATCCCATTAAGAATATAATAGTGCTTACATCCAACTTCATATACTTTGTATATTTTCATTTCTTAAAAATTTCGGCAGCACCTACCCGCTGTTCTCCCTATACACTGTGTGGATGTTATTATGCGCACTGACAACATATCAAAACGCAGAACAATATATGCTTATTGTACACAGAGAACAACAGGTACGGCGTGCTAAAATTTTTTAAGAAATAAAACCATACAAAGTATACAAAGTTGGATGTATGCACTACTATATTCCTAACCCGTCCGAGAAGAACAGATCCAATAATTAAAAATTTCTATAGCAATTCATTTCTATTATAATATAAAGTGAACGATCAATTTTGAGTAGAAAAATTTACCTCTTACCTAAATTTGACTCGTTCATCTTATATTATAACCTCAAAGAATTAGCTGTAATTATTGGACGGTGTCTAGGGTTAACGTTATATTTTTACCTAAATTAGATAGATAACACATTATTATATAATATTGCGTTATATATTACTCTATTTTTCGAAAACTTTTTCTTCCATAACTCACACATTTTCAAATCACAAACCTATATAATCACATTTGTACAATTCAAATCACAAACTGTATGATAAACATGAGAACTTTATAATATATCAAACCAAAATATGAAGAGAGATAGGAGAGCCCATGAGTAAGATATGACCAATGAGTCAACCATCCCTTTGGTGATAGACCCATCACAAATGCCTTTTTTTAACTAGTGGTAATTGTTAATTATGAAAGATTATGTGCTCATAAATGTCTGTAGATGAGAATCATCTAGTAGAAAAATTGGTTTCTCAAAGAATTTATAGGCTCCTTCAGAACTTAATAGGAAGGAACAAGTCTAAAATTTCCTCCCTCATTCTTTTTCTATAAACAAGGAAAAAAATATTTTGAGAGCAAAGTAGTACTGCTTCATGTTTTCAGTTTCCATCTCTCCTTTCATCATCCAAAATTTATCACATTAATTTCATAAAATAACACTGTTGATGGATGAGCTTGTGCACACTAGTACAAAACAGGTCAGCCCAAACGGTTGGAACCGTTTGGGAAAACCCCCTTCCAAACGGTTACAACCGTTTGGGAGAGGTAAAAAACCCGTTTGGGCTAAAGCCGTTGGGGACGAATTGTCCCCAACGGTCGCCCAAACGGTTGTAACCGTTTGGGCAAAACCCCAAACGGTTACAACCGTTTGGTCCCCAACGGTCGCCCAAACGGTTGTAACCGTTTGGGCAAAACCCCAAACGGTTACAACCGTTTGGGATGTTGCCCAAACGGTTATAACCGTTTGGGGTATAAAAATTTGCCAAACGGATGTAACCGTTTGGCCAAATGTTAGCCCAAACGGTTGAAACCGTTTGGACAATTTTTGCCCAAATGGTTTCAACCGTTTGGCCTGTTTTTCACCCAAACGGTTTTAACCGTTTGGGCTATTTATTTTAATAGTTTTTAAATTTTTACTTCTTTATTTATCTACCTGTTTATATACACATCTCACATAATAAGTACTCAACATCTCACAATGAAATCAAAATATTCTCAAACTTTGCTAAATATCCAATGTTATATATTCATACACAATGTTTACTCAATATACAATATTAGAGTCAAAACATATACATACACAATGATTACTCAATATCTCATAATGAAAAGCATCTAATATTATATATTTATCTCTAACATCCAAAATGTCCAACAAAATCAATCAAGTCAAGGAAAAGAAGAAACTCCTCGAAGAATGTCCTCTTGAGACAAACCCGAACACCTCAAATCTGCAAATATCCTAACAAGATTCTCCTGTGATAAACCTTGAGCACTAGAAGTAGACGTGTTAGTAGCACAGTTGAAGGCTAAAATTAGTTTGGCTAACATCTTGCTGATCAAGAAAATCATGAAGAAACTGTACGTGTCTTTTCTCGTGGGGGTACATGTAGAAGAGACTTCAAAAGGGTAGGTGAGAGTCTGTCCAAATAGATCTGCTAAAGCACCGCAAGAAAGCCGCAACGTGACAGACTTCTGGTAGTCCTTAGGAACGCGGGTCTTCAGCTCTTCATATATGTAGAATTTCAATCCAGCATAAGGAAGGATTCCGATAAGTGTTGGGCCTACATTAATTGTAAACATGATCAAGTAAAATAAGAGCTCAGAAAATGTAGCACATACTTTTGCAGCAACCATCAACTTCATCAAATATACTCTCCGGTGATCTTATCTACTGATGACGAGTGGGTCCCAAATATAGTTTCTTTCTCCAAATATAGTTCTATTTTAATAATAAAGGGGGAAAACATGCCTTCACTTTAACCCCAATGTATTTTCCAACTCTTCCCTCTGGATCTGGATCACGAGTCCCATCCTCATCAAGATCATCACCACCACAATCACCATCCTTCACAGCAATTACTCTAATGTTAGAAGATAAACAGAAAACATACATGGAAAATTCAGTAATACAACCAATTTATCCAACTAAAATCAAACATGTTCAGCCAGGCTCAATGGCACATGGCATGTGCAGGAATGAATGTGTCACCCGTGCACACATCAATACAGACAGAGAAATGTGCTTCTTGTTACAGATAAACTTGAGTTAAGAAAAGGGATTGCATGTGAAGTAAATAAGGTTATGGCAATATCTTAGCTAATGACTAGTCACTTAAGCATCTCAATATATGATTTTCCAGCTGTAACATAAAAACAGATTTAGAAAAATCTGATTCACTATATACTAAAGAATAACAGACCTTTTTTCATCATAACTAAGTAACCATGGCCACCTTGCACAAGCTCCGAAAATACTTCCCAGAAATGCCTTGCAACACCTTTAAATGTGCGCTCAATGGACTCATCTTTAAGCTGGTCCAGAACTGAAATGAGTTCTTTAATTTTCTGCGCCATACAATGTAGTCAAACTCTGTACCTGCTGGTAACAAATAACATCATTTTGTAGGTTTGCACATGATGTTGGATAGAGAGTAGTACCTAATCCCCAACATCAAGTTCCACTTGTCTTTTCTGTAATTGTTCTAGTTGCTCCGTGAAGTTCATATACTGGTCAAGAGCCTTTTTGTTGACATGGCTAAATTGATGTAGCTGCTCATTGCACTTATGCAGCATCTTTTGTAATTCTTTCATGCCTTTCCTCTTATACCTTTAGCATTTAATAAAGGAAAAGGCATGAACATACATATCAAACATAAATTGCAAGAATTGATGGCATGACAAATATTATAAAAATTATTTACAAGCTACAGCTGCAGTGATAGGGGGATGGGATCTGTTAGCTAAAATGTTTGGCAAGTTACTTTAAAGTGTAGATCCTTGATTTCCCTTGCTTCAACATCATTTCAAAATAACAAATGAAGAATAGTCATTAATTATTATGGTAGTTTAAACAACTCTGCATCTGTCAACATTTTCATAAAAAGCATTCGGACTTATTTTTTGCTTTAACTCTACAATTATAATGATTGTAGCTCCTATAAAAAGCAAATCAAGGTGAAGTTGTAAGAATTCCGAAGCTGCCCACGAGGCTTTGTAAAAACAAAATGGACTGGATTTGAAACAGATATGACCGGATTTGAAACAGATATGAAGTGGTATTTGTCATACTGTAACTGTGATAAAAAACCACATTTACCATACCCGCATCTATTTAATAAACAAATGGACTGGATAATCATATAATCTGCTAAAAAAATCCTATATATACATCCATCCATCAGAATGCTACACAGATCCCGAGGAAGAAATAAAGATATATAGATGCTAAATTTCGCAGTGGGATAACAGAAGCTTTGATGCAAGGACTTAACTTGTAAACCACATTACATTCAATAGATGCTAAATGTCACATAATAAGATAGCAAAAAGCAGAAACATGCACAGGAAAGTACGTTGTACATCAATACTGCACAAAGAAAGATTTAGAGGTAGCAATTCATGACTTAAGGCATGTTGTATACAGTAACTATGAAAAACAGTACCTGAAAATATAAAAACAATTTATTTACTACATATGGTTAAGAAAGAGTTAAGCCACAGTAATGGTAACAAACAGAAGATGATCACAGAAACTCAGTTCTCTCAGTGACATTCACAGAAATGATAAGATGGAACATTTCTAAATGCTGCTGTGATTATTTCATCTATTTTATGTGCTTAATTAATGTATGTACATCAGTCTGAAATGTGAAGTGATATTTTTATAATGTGCATCAAACATATGACGCATAGAGCTGAGATCACGAGTAGTAATGAAACTTGGTATTGTTTCTAAGAATACCAGAGCTAAAATAAACTTTGCCAATTCTACTTTAAATATTATTGTACATATAAATTAAAATTTAAACAAAAATAAACCTGAAAGACAAACTTACCTACTCTTTATATGGAAGTCTGGGACCGGCATCAGAATAAACAAACCACCAGACAAACCGTACAATTGTAGCAAGACCAACATAAGCTGGATAACTAGATAAAAAGAGTTCATAAGAATTTAATGAGACAGGGTTTAACTGTAAAATACTACTGACTTAAACTAAGTTGACAAGGTTATAAACTAAGTTGACAAGGTTATACAGGGAAGCCCCTTGGCATGTGGTAAAGATGTTGTAGTCAGAATGATGAGATCGTTTAGAATATGATGTTTACAAATTATTGTAAACTCAATCGACATTGATTTCAACTTTTCAACTTAAGATACAGAAGAAAACGAAGCAGAAAACATTTCGAATATAATGTTTACAAATGTTTATGAATCAGTCCCCAAACTAATAAGCACCACAATATCATGAAACTATATTTCCAGAAATATATTATCTTCAAACAACAGGACAACATATCGACCCCAAACGTAATTTCCCGATGCTTAAGACTCATACCCCCATCAATTCAAAAAAATCATTAAAAAGCATCTAAATCAGACAAATGCAACTAAAACAAAGAGGGGTTTTGTGTATACCTCGTCATTCAGTTTCTTAATACAACCGATGGATGGAAGCAGAGGAGGAGGAGGCGGAGGAGCGCCGGCGAAGATGAGGGAGGAGGAGGGGGTATGATGGCCCGCGGAGAAGATGAGGGAGCCCCGACGAACGAAGATGAGGCGAAGATGAGGTGCGTTGGCCAGCGGCAACGGTCGGACTTCGACGGGGTCGGATAAGGCGAAGACGAGGGGGTTAGGGATTTGAGAGTGCGGTGATGAAAATTTTAGGGATGACTTTAATGTGGCGCTGGGACGAAAATTTTGGGGATAGTGGCGCTGGAATGAAAATTTTGGGGGGAAACGAAAGGAAAAATGCTTCTTCTTTTTTTAACTAATAAAAACTTCCAAACGGGGTTAACCGTTTGGGTTGAGATATCCCAAATGGTTATGCCCGTTTGGTGCAGCCGTTTGGGATTTTTTAACAATCCAAACGGTTTTACCTGTTTGGGGTTACTATCCCAAATGGTTATACCCGTTTGGGCTATTTTTACTTGTCCAAACGGTTGTAATAACCGTTTGGACTGAGCTGTTTTGTACTAGTGGCAGTGCACTGGATAATGCTAATTGTGCTATAAATATATTTTTTATTTTATTTTAGTCACGACAAAATTGAAGCGTATAAAAATCCTCCTCCTGAGCCGCTATCTTGAGGCATATATCTTTACTTGGCTTTTAAGACGTAAATACTAAAATAAAATAGTACAAAAAGTTTAATTTAGTACAATTAACATTGACATTCGTCTATTCGATTGGATTAATGTGTTTATTTCTTCAAAATATTATAAGCTCAGCCTTTGAGCATGAAGAGTGAATACTCAAAGCGTAGATCTTGCACATTCTTCTATTAGCTAGTATTATCCTTAATAATACAAGTTCATACTAAATTAGCAAAATTAAATATAGATTAGAAAAGTAAAAGTAACTGGATGTCGAGGATCACAAAACTAGGGTTTGAGAAAACTAGGGTTTGAGAAAACTAGTGCTGTCAATATCTAATCAGGGATCACAAAACTTCTAATGAAGTTCTGAAATTATGCTAGATCGAAAGCTAACCTCAAAGAGACGAAGGTTTTCGACTGAGGGCGACGACGGGACGGCGAGGAGGGAGGCGACGACGGGCGAGGTCGAAGGAGAGGGAGGGCGACGACGGGACGGCAAGGACGTTGTTTGTGATCTGAGGAGGGAGGCGAA